GGCAGAACGCGCTACTGTTTGCCGAGGAGGAGGACGGGGAAGCCGGAGCAGAGGACAAGCGCTCCCAGGAGGAGACGCCAGGCCACCGGCGGAAGGAGGCTGAGGGGGCAGAGGAGGGCGGGGAGGAGGAGGACGATGACGAGGAGATGGACCCGCAGACGATCGATAGCCTCATTGAGCTGTCCACTAAACTCCACCTGCCAGCCGACGATGTGGTCAGCATTATCGAGGAGGTGGAGGAGAAGCGGAAGCGGAAGAAGAACGCCCCTCCAGAGCCAGTGCCGCCCCCCCGGGCCGCCCCCGCCCCCACCCACGTCCGCTCCCCGCAGCCCCCGCCTCCCGCCCCCGCCCCCGCTCGGGATGAGCTGCCGGACTGGAACGAAGTGCTCCCGCCCTGGGATCGGGAGGAGAACGAGGTGTTTCCCCCTGGGCCCTACCACCCTTTTCCCAACTACATTCGGCCGCGGACACTGCAGCCGCCTGCGGCCTCGCGCCGCCGCCACTATCACCACGCCCTGCCGCCTTCGCGCCACTATCCGGACCAGGAGGCCCAGGCGCAGCGCGCGCAGGAGGCGGCGGAGGCGGAGGAGCGCCGGCTGCAGGAGCAGGAGGAGCTGGAGAATTACATCGAGCACGTGCTGCTCCGGCGCCCGTGACCCGCCCCGGCCCCGCCCCCGCGCGTCCCCGCCGCGCGCGCCGCCACTCCCCCTCCGTGTCGCTCCTCCGCCCTCTCGGTGTTTGCATGCGCCCCGGCCCCGCCCCTCGGTCGCCTCCTGGCCCCGCCCCCGCCCGCGGGCCGCTGTGTCTCCGGGCTGTTCCGGGACCTGCCAGACCTCTTCTCGAGACCGAAGCCCGAACTCCCAAAACTCTCGGGTTACCCGGGGCCCGCCCAGGTGGGCGGGTGGTTTGTGCGAGTTCCCTCCCCTCGGCGGGGCCCTGTCCCAAACGAGTCTCTCATGGGACGTCCCCGTCCGAAACCGGAAAAAGCAGTTCCAATTAATTGTGTGAAAATGTGTCTGTCTCTCGCCCTTTGGGCGTCCCTAGAGCCTGTCCGCTCTCTCCAAATCGCTCTAAATTTACCTCTCCTTTCCTCTCACTGTTGTAAATACCCCCCACGGAGGAAATAGTTTTGCTAAGAAATAAAAGTGACTATTTTATTAGGACTTTGTTCTCCATTATTCACCCGTCCCCTTGGGCCTGTGAGGTCCTTCCCAAGGGGCGGTGAGGGAAGCGCCGGCGAAACCGATCACTTTCTGCTATCCCCAGACCAAAGCGAGGGTCGAGTGGGAGAACAGGTGAAATCATATTTGGAGGGTAAATGTTTCCCGCTTCAAGCTTGGGGATAGGGCAGGTTAAAGTCATCAAGTATGAAGCCACAAGCTTCCAGTCCAAGACACTACAGCAGCTACTGTGGGTACCTGGGAAACTCTCCGCGGTCCTGGGTGGTACTCCACCTCTCCCTTAACTGCCCCATGAATTCCCTGGTCCTATGTACTTCACAGGAAATGTGGGGACAAGGGGTTGACAGCGAAGAGACACCCTGCTGTTAGCTGTTTCTCAATCCTTCCTAAGCACAGACACCCTTGAACTCCTGATTCCTTGCCAAATGAAACTAAACCGGGAAAACGAAATCTTCCATAAGAAAATCGTAGTTGAGTGGACATTTGTCCCTAGGAGTTGCTTCTGCCTGGGTGAAGACAGTGGTCAGGCACCCAAAACTGTTTGGGCAAGGTTGTCAGATGAAGCATGGAACTCCTAGCTAAAGTTCAATTCCAGATAAACAATGAGTATGTTTTTAGAACAAGTGTGTCCCCAGTGACTGAGTGGGTTACATTTCTAAAATATGTGCTGACTGTCTGACATTAGAACTTAGTTGGGTATCCTGTATTTTTTCTTAAGTCTGGCAACACCCATTCTGAAAAAGGCTAACAGGTAGTGTACTCTTGGCCTTCCAATGAATGCAGCAGCCTTGCCTTTCTTCACAGAGCACAGGCAAACCAAGTCCAGAAACACTTTTTCCTTTTATTTCAGAAGAAAGGAAATAAAGGTGGACACTTGCCCACCCCTCCCCCTTAGCTCTTGCCTCACCCAGAACAGAATGGAGGAGGCACAGGGCCAGTGTCCCAGAAAGCCTGCCCTTCCCCCAGCCCTTCCTTCCATCAAAGTGGCAAGGTTAGAAAAAAATTAACTAAGTAGTTCCTGCCCTGGTGCTGGACAGGGGCCCCACTAAAGCCAAGGAGGAAGTGGGGGCAGGTGAGGGAAAAGGCCCCCTCCCAGGCAGAGAAGCTGCCCTGGCTGGCTAGGGGGAGGGTGGAGGTAGGTTTTGGGGCACAGGGGAGAGAAGAGCCCTGAAAACCTTTTCCCTTTAACCTGACATATTTATATATTTACAGTGGTAAGTGGGGGAGGATTTCTGGGTGACATTGGTTCTTCAAAGGCAGGGAACAGCCAAATAGCACCCCATCTTGGTCACATTTTCCTGCCTCCTAGCTCCGAAAGCCTTCAGTGGGAAAGGGAGGGTGGAGGAAGGGAATGTTTGAAGGGCCGGAGCCCACGGCTCCCTCCAAAGAAGGTGAGGCGGCAGAGGAGGGGCAACTGGGTCCCACCAAGAGAAGGGCCCTGAGGGACGCGGGAGAAGCAGCCACCATGCCCTGCCTCTCCACCAGCTCCCCTAGCTCCACGGGGCCCGGCCGGCAGGGGCTATGCCAGACCCATCTCCTCCAGCACACTGCGTGGCGACTCATCCTCCTGAGGCAGAGACAGACAGGGTGACGCAGACACCAGGAGAGCAGGGTGGGTAAGACAACCGGCAACCACAAGGAAGGTGGCGGAGTTGGGGAGCACAGAGAGACACGGGGAGGGGGAGAGAAACCATCATGAGCCCAAGGCTGGGGTGGCTGCGAGCACTCAGGGGCGCTCACTAGCCTCCCAGCACCACCCCAGCACCCACAGTGGCATGGAGGGGACCAGGCTGGGCCCATTACCACCCAGAAAACCCACAGCCAGGAGCTGGGTGAGCAGGAAGCTTGGCTTCAGGGAACCTGGGACCAGAGCTGCAAATGTGCTTTCCTGGGGCTGGTGGGTATAGAGAGTAGGGTCCTATTTTGGGGGGTTGGGGGAGGTAGTAAGAGGTTGTCACCAAGTCCCTGAGGGAAGGTAAACTAGACTGCAGAGAGATGAGTCACTAGGGTCTCAGCAGAGCACTAGTAATCAGGGTAGGGGTGCACCAGGGCCTGTGTGTATGGTGTGTGTGTATGAGAGACAGACACACACTGGACCAGTGACGTGGCGAGTTCAGTTTTACCCTTTTTCCTTGTGTAGGGATGAACCCCCCTCTGCCCCTTTTCTCCCCCTCCTCAGAGCCAGCTCAGGTCGGCTTGCTCGTCACTGCAGATTCCGGTGACTCATCTCCCTGCACCAAAGCTCAGCAGTGGCACAGCAGAGAGGGGGCAGGCAGTAATGGGGTGAGGGCGGGGGTGCTGGATAGCAGAGAACCAACATCCAGGCACCCTCCACCCCAGCCCCAATCCTCATGGCCGTCTGCTCCTGAGAAGCAAAGGCTTCTGAATGTGTGTGTTTCAAAAAACCAGGGAAGAGAAGACTGATCTCTGGGTGCCCCTCTCTAATTCTGAGAAACCCCTGACAGTGAGAGAAGCACTAGGTGGGGAAAGAGCTTGCAATGAGGGGACAACTGGCATAGATGTGTGATGGGCCCTTCTGCCTCCCACCCTATGGGGTCAGGGCTTGAGGGAAAGCTGGACAGATGGGTGTGGTGGCGGCCAGACACCACAGGGAAGGGGGCCCCCTTGGTGGCGGGCAGGGTGTCCAGGGGAGGAAGGGTCCCTTCTGCTGTGATGCTCTTCCTCCTCCTCACTGTCCCTGGCCCGTACCTCCTGCAGCAGGTCTGCCTGCTCAATAGCCTTCAGCACACTCTTCTTAGAGGTGTCCTGGACGTCCCCTCCCATCAAAAACTCATCCAGGATGAAGTAGGCCTTCTCAAAGTTGAAGATGATGTCCAGTTCGCACACCTAGGAGGGGGAGGAGAAGGCAGAGTGGCCCATCAAGGTGCGCCCAGTCCCTATTTCCCCATGACCATTCCCCTCGTGGTGGGTTTTTGCTCTGGGTCTCAGTTCTTCCACCCTGAGCCTCAGGACTTGGGTTTTGCTTCTTCTTCCCTCCTTCTTGACTCTTGCCCTCCAACCAGGAAATAAACTGCCTTTGTCTATCCTTGTTCGTGGTTCCTGTTGCACTGCCTCTAATATCTGTGACACTGTTCCCACCAGAGGCTGTGTGAGCCTCCCTCTGTGGCACAGTGGATAGAGACACTGGCCCATGGGGTAGAAGACTTGAGTCCCAAGCAGGGCTCTGCCAAGACCCAGCTAGCTGTACGTATCATGGGGTGTCTCAGCCTCAGTTTTCTCATCTGAAAATGGGGATATCGACACCTCTTTATAGGATAGAATGAGGAGCAAACAAGAGAACCCCAAAGGGCTTTGTGGAGTGGGATACAGAATTGTCTGGCACAAGACTCAGGTTTCCCCCCAGATAAGTGACTTGGATCTCTGGGGGTGGGGCCCTGGGCATTACTATTTTATTCCAATACAAAGCCAAGGTCAGAACCACTGAGGAAATGTGAACTTGTTTCTGTCCTAGCACAAGAAGTCTGAGCTGAGGAGATTAAGTGCCAGATTCTGTCCCTTCCCCACCCCACCTCAACCCGGGGCTTATTAAGGGGCGCAGCTAATAGGCTTAAAGCTTAAAAAGGGAGATTAATTACTGTTCTTATTGCTCCAACTGCATCTCTCCCCTGAGACTGGAAGAGTAGAGATGACTTAGATGGACCTTGGAGTTGAGCAGAAAGGGGGATTTCTGAATATAGAACCGGGGTGAGAGGGGAGACTTACGCTGCCGAAGTATTTGTCCAGGAGCTCCACATACCGGTGGATCAGCTCCAGCGTGATGAGCTCATTGTCTTGGCCCTCAATGGCGCAGCAGAAATAGAGGCTGGCATATCTGTGGAGGGGACACGAGAGACAGCTTGGAACTGGCTTTGGAACCCAGGTATTCTGAGCTTAAATCTCCCATCAGTCCAAGATCTACGCCCCAGCTGGACACAGGCAAGTGGCCCTTGGGTACACAAAGAGTAACTAGCTTCTCAGAAATAAGTAAGGATGTGTGCTCTTTCCTTCTTGACCTCTGATCTGCTCAGATTTGACTCAGCAAAAGCCCAAGCCAACTAACTGACCTGCTCAGAGAAGGAACTGGAAAGGGTGTGTGGGGGGGTGCGCACCTGTATGCTGGGAAAAGTGGAGCAAGGCCTCCGAATGGTGAGAGACAGTAAGGGACACGCACAGTGGACAAGATAGAGCCTATAGGGACAGAAGTATATGTGTGGCAAGTGCCAGGCTTGAGCAATACTAAGCAGGGAACAAGAATTTCTTCAAGGGGAGTTTGGAAAGTACAGGAGGCTGGTGTTCATTGCTGTCCTGGGCTCTGGGTTCTCCCTGACCTAGGAGGCACCTATTTCTCTGCCATTTCAATTCTTTGCCAAACTTCAATCCAGCAGGATGCAGGCGGGTCTGAAAGCAGGTGGGGAGTCACCTCTTATAGACAACTTTGAGGTCCCTCCACTCCAGGAAGCTGCACATCTTGGGTTTTCGAGCCAGAACAACCTGCATAAGCTCCCGAACCATCTTCTTCCGTTCCTTATCTGACGTGGCCAGGTACCATTTTTGCAGCCGCAGCTTTCCCTGACGGCTGAACAGCAGCATGAATCGCATCTGGAGGACATGGACAGAGTGGAGGGTCCGAGATTTTGTTCTGAACCTCTTTCCTCCATACACACAGGCCCAAATTCAGCCCCTTGATTCTCTAATTACGGCTGCCTGCTACTTTCTTAAAAAAATCTACCTGCTGGCTGACAACTCTAGGTGTTCCCACCAGCGAGTAACTTTCCTTCTGGCAGAAGCTATTGCTTTGGTGTGTCTGTCATTTGGGTTCAAGTTCTGATTCTAGTCTATGGCCTTCAGTAACTTGATTTATGTCTCTGGATCTCAGTTTCCCTGTTTGTAAGATGAAGATGATCAAACAACTTCCCTTTCAGAGCTGTTAGAAGGATTAAATGAGTTGATATATGTAACAGTGCCTGGCACATAGGAGGCATTATAACATGTTAGGTATTATTTTTATTCCCTGATGCCCATTTCCTAACTTTGCTTTCTAAAGGAAGTAAAATGCCTAACACAGTGACAAGCGGTACATAGTTAATGCAAAGAGATACCAGTTCCCTTCCATCCTCCTGTATCCACCACCATGCTGAAGTGGGGTACTTGTCTCAAGCTACCTCAGTTTTCCACCCCATCCTATTCATAAGCCCTTGCTGATGTCCCTAAGTGTCTTCCATGGACAGTCGTATGCTCAGGGGTATCTTTCTCCAGATGTATACATGTGTCCAACACTGGACTTGGTGTCAGGATGATCAAACTCCATCCTCCAATCATATGATCCCTAGCTCTTCTCTTCCTTTTAGGGTGCCTCCCACTAAGACCCACACTTCCCCAGACATCAGATGACCAATCTCCCTTTCAGTCCCTTGCTTAGGACAGGGTCATACAGGGTGGCTCCCTTAGGGAATGTCTGTGGAACAAAGAGCAAGCTGGGTGAAGTGGGATGGAGTGCAGAGCCCTCACTACCTCGTGCACCCCAGCTTCCCAATTCCAGGTGTCCCTTCCTGGACTCATTTGCTCCCAACAACTCCCTTCTCCGTGGACACGAGCAGAGCTGGAATCCCGGGGTGTGTACAACAGTACTAGTTTAGTAGGTTAAAAATCAGGATTTGGAGAACTGTTTTTTT